GGGCATTGAGGTATGCCTCCTCGTAAGGATTTCTTCTGCGGCCGCCAAAGGGCAACAGTTCGCCTGCCCAAGTTTCTTACGGAAATCGTTGTTAAAGGTTTAATACTTGATTAAGGCATGGGTAATGCGTCTTAAGTGCATAGTAGGAAATAAATTAAAGCCGCTTGCAGTTGTTTTACTGAGCTAAAAGTACATGTGAAATAATACGGAAATAATAAAATGGACTAACATAAACTCCTATTGGTCCGTAAAGGATGCATATAGACCAATAACATTATTAGAACAAGTCCTATTGGTTAATATAACCGAGAAAGTGTGTTGATTGGCGGAAACCCGATCTACTGAAAATGCGGAAGTAGTTTTTTTAGTATCAATCACGCACAAAAGCGGCCTCAGGAGAAAGCCCTATCTTCTACTCCAAGACAACGCATAACTCAGAAATAAGCATTAGACTCTTCTGTCACCCCTGTTGGTTGATAGTGAGTGTTTACCCAGAAGTCTATCGCCTCCCTGGGATTCAAGGCCGCAGATCCGCATAAACACGCAGAACGTTCCTTTTCATTCGATGAACGTCAATTCCTTGCCGTGCTCGTGCAGAGAACGCGAGGCTATTAGTCCCTTGTTTGCACCCATCCACAGCATTAGATATTTCCTTTAGACCAGTTAGCGACACCTTCGCGCCCTCCATTACGCACTTGTGTCAGTCAGTAAAGTATTTCTCAGCATTTGAAAATGGATGCTTTCCTATGTAGAGCTTATTTGCAGTCTGGTATCCCTTAACTCTTCTTTGTCCTCAAATCTTTGCGTTCTCCGTTGAGAATTATTGTATTCATGCATCAAGATCTTGTGCTGCTTTTCGCTATCAAGGCCTTAAGTTGTAACCTCACGCTATCTGCTATTTGCGTGGTAGGGCCAGAAAGTCTGGATCCATTGTCGCTTGGGTCCCTCTCCCTCTCTTTCTCTCTCTAAATGACTTACTCTGACAGGCTAAGGAGCGGCATTATTTCATTGTCTCGGATTTGTTGCCCGTCGATTATTCCGCTGCGTGGCCTCGGGCTCTAACATGACCACCAACTTTGGTATCTAGGCCGTTACGTTAAAACAGTTGACATCCACATCAAGAAGGGAACTTGTCTTCTGCCTATCACGCCACTAGACATCGAGTTTAAACAGAGCTCGCACCGGGACAGTCTTTTTTATAAAGAGGTGTTCGATCGTTCGTTTTTTGCTACAAAGTTTTGGACTTTTTTGAAGGACAGAGTCGGAGTCTCGTAGAGTCTCTCTCGAGAATTCTTCCATATTACTGGGACATGTTGTCTTGTTAACTTATTCAGGCCCCAACTTAGTGACCTCCTTTTTCGTACGAGTAAACAATGTTTTTATGTCACCTACTTCGTGCTACCCAGTTTTACAACGGGGCCGACAGATAAACTCAAGGCTGAAAAGACTAAAATCTTATCCCTTGCCTTAAGGCCGCGGCGTACAAACTAGTTGTAATTGCTGACACAGTCGGCTGCATTCTATTTAGCATACAACCCAAACAGGTTGCTCTGTTGTGTTAGACGTAAATAAAGGTCAAAAGAGCCTTAGCCCCGAGATTTGTGCCACATCAGTCACTAGATCTCATCTCATCTCCGACTGCCTTGACCTGAATATGTCACTCATATGTACTGAATCCAAGGTCATTTAAGTCGTTACTGTTACAAGTCTGCTGCGCATCGTTAGTATGTGTGTGTTTGTGATCCATAAAATGAGAAATGCGCCCACACTCAACTGTGGTCTTGTCAGCTAGTCCTCTCGAAAATGTGCGTGTACGAAGAGGACGCGTGTTAAGCACAGCTTTTGTACGAGAGGTTGGCAAGTAAATGTCTTCGACAATTCATCATCAGGCCTATACACTTACGTAGATAATAAAAGTATGAGAGGCTGCAACAGGACCCAAACACGCCGCCTCAACACCCTGATGACATCGGCTAATTCTGCGTACCTGACGGTGATGTTCACTCCTAGAACTCGACCGCTCACACTCTACCTTATCTTCCTTTGTCCCACGCCCATCTCTCCACGATAAATATTAACCATAAGACGATTATAAACTCCACGAAGCTATCACATTTTCATTATCTATGTAAAGGCCCGATGATGGTTCCACGAAAACGCTTGTTTGGCAACCCGAATTTTCAGGTTTAACACGGAAATATCGGTAGGTCACAACTGCCCTCCCCCTCATCGGAGTGGTTATGGTCCTTGCCGCTTGTAAAGGACAACGTATCGTTTGCAAGCGATGAACTGTGGGCGCGTATATGCGTACTTTAGCCTTCATCAGTTGGTATACGGAATCTGCAAATCGTAAGTCCCACCGACAAGTAGGAAAGTTTCGGAACAGGCATTTCAGTGTAAGTCGCTTACTGATCTTTCTCGGGGCGTTCAACGGTTTCCCGATCTTCAGGGTCCACGCAGACATTCAGAAAAACCAATCATTAAGCTAGCTGTTTCCGTCTTACGAGGTTTTTGCCTTGAACTCTGTTTTAGCAAAAAAAAACATGGATCGTTCCTTGATAAAATACACATTTGCTTTTTTTTCTCGATTACTGCCCTTTCTGACGTGCATCTCAGCGTCATCCGGTATTCACCTGGTACTTTACTTATATTTCACCTCCCACAAAATTTACTTTTTTTATCGCTTGTACTTTTTAGGTCTGCACTACTCTGTTACATCCTGCCTACCTTTTGAATGCATTGGTTGACCAGTCACGACTTCTGCAGGGATTTTGTTTCCATCGCGAACTTTTAGCTTTAACTGGGCCTCCGTCTAGGTCAGTCGACAAACAACCCATGGCTATCGAGGCTTGGCTTACAAACCTCTGTTGGATTCTAGATTTACGGAACAACCTGGGTAAGTCTACCTCGATATCCGTCATTGCCTGCTTACCTTAAACGATAGTCTTCATGTTTTTTTGATAATTTTTCTTGCTTTCGGGGCCTTAAATACACCGTATTCAGTAAATGTCATCACCATGTGTTTTGTGATGGTTTGCTTATTGTGTCTATCGTAAGGTCTAGCGCAGTTTTGAAAGCCCACATCGCTTGTCAATTTAATACGAAATTTTTACTGTGATTGCCCCTGGACACGGCCGTGTTACAGTTAAAAAAAAACCTGGTTTGCGGGACGTGAATAGTCTGCAGATGAGGAATTTCGTTCTCCATCCTTCCTCCACGTGTGTATAAAGAAGCGAACAATTTGCTTACGTGGGCTCTGTCTGTTCAGTCTTGTCTTTAAATTTAGAGGTTTTAACTATTACCTGTGCTACCAGTATGCTAAATAATTTCACAAGTTATACTACTATATGCCTGTTTGCAGCTGGTAAATATTATGCGGTTATCCTGCCGTGGGTAATGCAATTTGGCCCAAATATTTACATCAAATTTCGGTCTATGCCTGCAGACCTCTAAATATACTGATCTACTCCGAGTTAGAAATCAGACAACAGTAGCTTATGTAGCCCCACTCATTAATCCCTACAACCTGCATGTTTTCCTACGAAAACGGTATTTCTAATCTAACTCCAGAACTGTAAGTTGGACGGCAACAGTAGCTTTTGTAGCCTTACTCATTAATCCCTACAACCTGCATGTTTTCCTACGAAAACAGTGTTTATCGGGTTTTATGGGCGGGAAATTAGGACAGGCGGTGGAATATACTTTAATAAATGCTAAATGCATTTTTATCCTAATGTATTTAGAAGTGTTGTTGATTTATATATGTAGATTTTCCTAATCTGTATTATCATGTTACTTATTCCGGAAAAATT